AACTGTTATCGCAATCCATACACACATCAATTGTGTAAAGCGCATTTGTACATCATTCTCAAAACATTTTCTCTCCACTTAAACCCCCGATATTAGGTCCTCATTTAAGTTCTTTTCTTTTAAGATCAGTTTTATTATACATCTATATATGAAGGGGCTTCAAAAACTGGTGAAAAATAGAATTAAAGATAACAGAATTTTTCCACAAACTTTTTTTTTGGTTTTAACCCTGTTTGAAACTAGCCGAGCTCCAAGAGCACTGAGGGCCAGCTTCAATGTTCTTTCCCCTCCTTTCATGACCACCCAGACCAGTGTTTCCATCCGATGGGAAAGGGAACTGGAGGGTTCCACAAACTTTCTGAAGCCCTCTCCTGTACAACGACGTACACGGTGGGTATCGTTGTGGAGGCTTCCTAGATGCATCCAAACAACGTCCAGGATGAATTTACTAGGCTAAGATGCTTAAGAACACAGTCCTGGGGTCAATTTAATCAACTGGCAAAACATAGCTCATAAAGTTAATGTTCAACATCCTACTTTGTTAAGTAGCATCTGGGGCCTTAAAAGCGTATGATTATGGTCCTTGTCAATACTCGCCCTCATGAAGAGATCACTGAAGATGCGGGTGATAGTGCAAAGTGTGGTGAAAAAACTAGATGGTGCCCAGGGATCAGAAAGAATAGTATCTGGGGTTGTAAAGGCTGTCTTCAAATAAGCAGCCATCCAAGTGAAGTGTGACCTAAGTCCACACACCAGCCTGTGCCATCTAAGGACAGTAAATGATGAAATCCAAAGAAGAGCATGGCTTGCAGAAGGCTATGGATGACTGCAGAAGCCCAAATCCATTTGCAGGGATTAAGCCTCTGGTGGATGCCCTCTGATCACAGTCTGGGGATATGAACAGCCTTGCTATCATACGGAGAGCATTATAAGTTTGAATATGGACGACGTAGTTAGGTTAAAAATTTTTACAGCAGAAAAATCAAGACTTCCCATTAAAATTAGCATAAACCACTATAACGAATTCCACTGAAGAAGTCTGGAGAGAAAACCATGCAACAAGAAGTAAGAGATCTAGAAAATAAATAGTAATATTTCACAATTTTCTTTTACCTGTTTTCATGAATCCCGGATGTTCAGCAATGTTTGAACTATTTAGTAGTTTCACAGCTTTTCTGTAATTGCCTCGTAAGTACTCAAAATTGCTTTTAAGAAATAGAGAGGGTGCAGACTGTAAAGAAAACACAAATTACTTATATTCTGTTTTCCTAGGCTTAATTCGAGACCATACCTGTACGACTGTACACTTGGCATGTGTTCCCTGGCATAAACAAAATCAGGTAAGTCACGGTCACAAAACATTAAAATTATACAACACCGAATCTTACAGTCTCTATTCTTCATTGCTCTTGTAATCTAAAAAAAATGAAATCTGTCGGAGAGCAGCTTATAAAAAGACTTGCAAGTCTAGCTTAAAAAAACCAGACATACATCATCTACATGTAGGAACAGTCTGTATAGTATCAAGTATGTGTGCATTCATCTGTCACACCACTGGAGTGCAATTAAATCAGCATAAACTGGGGCCTTGATTTTAATGCTCCTAAGGAAGCAGGCGACTGTCTCTATTTCTAGCACACAGATAGTTCTTCACTTGCACCCAAAGAGATAGAAATAAATACTTTTCCAAGTAGAAAAAAGATGTTATTGTATAATGATGCTACTTTTTTTTCAATTTCTAAATTGTGAGTTAGGTTAAGGTTTAATTTCAGATCATCTGGTATTCAAAGGTTTAAAGCTTCTCATCAGCGCCCCCTATAGTTTGCCCTTCCCCCTCCATGGTTTCTCTTCTGGTGGACTACCACCTTCCACCTTACCCAAGTTAACATCCGTCCACTGTCTACCCTGTTGCTTTATCTTCCCTCCCCAGCCCCTGCCCCCCAATCTCCAAAGCCTTTTCCCTTTGGTAAGAACATCTTATTTCGGATAGCAGTGGGCTTGACTGCTTTCAGTCAGCAGGGTGTTTTACAGGTCCATCTGTGTCATCCACTTCATGGTTTCGTCACTGTTTTCTTTTCAAGAAGTTCACAGTACTCCGTCATTTGTATATACCACCCATTCCTCTACTTGTGGGCATTTAGGCGGTTTCCACCTTCTTGCTGGTGTGAACCTACTGTGGTGTGCATGTCTGCTCGTGCTATGACTCTTATACTTTAGGGTAAATACCCAGGAGAGGGGTGATGGGATGCTATTTCTATTCCCAGGTGTTTGAGGTAGCACCACAGTGCTTTCTGCAGTGGCTATACATAGGTATTACAGTCACACGGGCAGTGGACCAGGGCTCTCTGACCTCTCCAGTGCATTTGTTATTTTCTGTATATCAAGAGTCTTATAACAGGAAACATTCTTTTTGAGACTTAATCTGATTACAAAGATCATGTTGGACCATCTTTCACTTCCAAGAGTCCTCATGGTGGAGGATCCTATCTATAGGACAAAAGCATGTCTCATCTGGGGATGAGACATCTACTTTGGAGGATATCTGGGATTCTTGTCTTCCCTATTTAATAATTATAGCTTAGCATCAAGCAACTTCCTATTCTTCTAAATCCCAGTTCATTCTTTGTTCTGCTCCCTATCCACCTCAGAGTTCTTCTGGACTGCGGGAACACTGTCTTTCAAGGCTTATTCCAGGTGGCAGTATTCCTTCCTCAAGCGCTCACGGACTCAGTTATAAGTACACACTACACGACAATTATTTTATTTGTCTCTCCCTTATGACCTCCTTTAAGGCAAGAATTATATACTTAATCCTAAAGGTTTCAAAATGACCTGGTTTTTCCCTCCTAGCCTCCTCAAGGTACCGCCTCAGGTCTAGACCACAATTGTTCTACACACACACACACACACACACACACACACACACACACACACACACACCATGACTAAGTGACTCCTTAGGCTGCTGGCTAGGATTTTTAGGGTCAATTTACACTAATTATTCCTACTAAAACTCTACTGACTCAAGAGTTCATACTTCTAATCAGTTTTCAAGATAGCTCATTGTTTGATTCCTATCAAATCCAAAAATGAGTGGCTTTTAAGCTGATTCCAAAACAAAGCAACCCTTCAGGACTGAGTAGAACTGACCCCAGAGGCTTCCAAGGCCTTTCCTGTTACATGCTGGACTTGAACTGCCGACCGCTTGGTCAGCAGCTGAGTGCTGATTCACTGAACAACCCGGACTCCTTTTCTTCCCTATACCATCTTAAAGCATACTTTTATATGGCAGGGGTTGAGATGGAAGGAGTGAAAGGGAGGGGGAAAAATACTGTCTAAGTCTCTGAGATATGATTGAGTTATAATTTGAGATGTATATCGGGTTGATTCTGACTCATAGGTACCCTATAGGACAGAGCAGAATTGTCCCTGTGGGTTTCTGAGGTTATAACTCTTTACAGGAGCAGAAAGTCTGATTTTTCTGTCAGAGAATGGCTAGTGGGTTCAACTTGGTGACTCATCAGTTGGCACCCAAGGAGGCAGCCCAATGAATAAAACTTACAACGCCACCAGAGCTCTGTCTTAAGGACCCTAACCCTACGCAAACTGAAGGTACGAAGGTCAAGTCCAAATCATTTAAAAGGTGGTTTTGGCTTTTAACCTGAGTGATAACTGTAATAATATCTTAAGCACACTATTCAGAGATCATGCTGTTTGGAGCTATTGCGTTTGTTCTGACTCCCGGGCTCTGTGCCGCCCTCTGACCATGTTATGTTTGAGCCTGCTAGTGCAGTCACTGTGTCGGTTCATCTTATTAAAGGTCTTCCTCTTTTTCACTGCCCCTCTACTTTACCAAGCATGATGTCCTTTTCCAGGGACTCGTCTTTCCTGATAACGTGTCCAACACACTGTTAGATGAAGTCTCGCTGTGGTAGTTACATAATCTGCTGTCAATTTGAGACTGAAGGGTGACGGGGTGGAGGTTAGCCTGTCAAACAGGTCACCGCCGGATGACCTCATTTGGAGGCACTAAGGAGAAAAAGAGCTCCCTGGAGGCAGGACACATGCTTACTCCCTGTGAGACATTCTTTCTGACAAGACACTTGGAGCTATGCTAGAGCCCTGGGAGCTGGAGACCCCTGCCAGTGCTGAGATGCTTCTACCACCACTGGATCCACAAGACTTTCCACCCACTGGCCTGTGATGTTCCTGCATTCGGCGTCATTGCATGTGTTGCATGAGTCTGAAGAGGAATTTATAGATTGGTATCAGACATATGGGCTACTACCTGACTTATGGACTTGATCTGGACTGGGTGGTTTTCTCTATATTCAATTGCTCTTTGATATAAAGCTCTTTCTTACACACATATGAGTGTCTATGAATTTGTTTCTCTAGTCATCCCAGACTAACACACTCACCATTATTTCTGACGGATTTTGGCTGTAACTCTTTCAAGGCAGACTTGTTTGTTCTTCTAACAACACATGGACTATTCACTATCTTTTGCAATATCATCATTCAAAGGCATCAATTCTTCTTTAGTCTTCCTTACTGTCAAATTGTGAATGCATCTGAGACAACTGAAAATACCATGGGCTTGGGTCATGCACACTTCAGTCTTCAAAGTGATGTCTTGGCTTTTTAACATTTGTACGAGATCTTTTGGAGCTGATATGGCCATTCAACATGTCATGACTGCTGACTGGGGTTCCATGTAAAAGGAAATCCTTGACAACTTCACTCCTTTCTCCACGGGTCATGATGTTATTTATTGGTCCAGTTGTGGTGACTTCTCTTCTTCATGTTAAAAAGTACGATCCATACTGAAAGCTGTACCCTTTGATCTTCCTCAATAATAAGTGGTTCAGGTCTTCTGTATTTTTAGAAAGGCAGGTGTGTCATATGCATATTTCAGGATGTTAAAGAGTCATCCCTCAATCTTAATGCCACCTTCTTCATATAGTTCAGCTTCTCCAATTCCTTGTGCGGCACAGACTGAGTATGACAAAGGGATACAAGCTTGACACCTCTCTTTCCTGATCTTAAACTTTGTTTAATATGACCACTACTTCATAACTCTATCATATCAAAGCTTACACATCTGGTAGCAGACTACAGTAACCTAAACCCAAACCCAATCCATGGAGTCTGACTCAGTGATCTCACAATGCAGAGTACAACGGTCTTACAGTTTCCAAAGCCACAAATATTTACAGAAGCTGACTGGCATATCTTTTTCACACTGAGCGGCTGGTAGGTTCAAATAGCTGACCTTTCACTTAACAACATTTGACTAATATAAGTTATTTAAAATCCACAGGTACCAATAGTCCTACTAATAAAAGTTTGTTTTTTTAGAATCATTTTACTGGGGGCTCTTACAGCTCTTATCACAATCCATCCATCCATCCATTGTGTCAAGCACATTTGTACATATGGTGCCATTATCATTTTAAAAACATTTTCTTTCTACTTGAGCCCTGGGTATCAGCTCATCCCCCCCACCCCCCCTATCTCGCCTACCCTCCCTTCCTCCCTCATGAACCTTGATAATTTATAGATTATTATTACTTTTTCATGTCTTACACTGACTGCTGTTTCCCTTCACCCACTTTTCTGTTGTTCATCCCCCTAATAAAAGTGTTAAGGTATAAAAGCCACAGATCATAAAATGAGATAAAAGTTCAAAAGAAACTTACATTTCCAGCCGTGTTCATGACTGACTTGATTTCTCTTTTGCATGCCTTTAGGGACTTCATTTGGATATAAGCTCTTACTTTATACTGTCAAAGGAAAATGCTAGTATATAAGAAGTACAATAAATTTACAATGCTCAAGCATTTACTATACAGTTAGGGAAATTAAACTCAATCTATTTGCAACACAGTTTTAACAGTTACTTACAAATGCAAGTTCAAAGCGATCCTACATATCTTATTTTTACTGTACTCTTTGAATACATTCTAAAATACTAAAAGCATGTTAGATTAAAATCTAAACTTCCATTCCAAGCAAAATTCCTACTAAGCCTTACTGGCCAATGGCTAAAACAACAATGGATTTTTTAATTCTACAAATGATTTTATTGTTAATTGAGGCTACTACTCCTCACAATATTTTATAGGGCAATGACAAGAAACCATATGTTACTATCTTAAGTCAAATATAAATGTGCTGCTGAATCACACGAGTCCAAAGCTAACAGAACCTGGGGGCGGTTTCAAAAGAGCAATTAAGCTGTCAAAGAAGCCCTTGAAAGCTGAGAACGCGAGCATAAAGTGCCATGTACACAGCATTTCCAGTCTACGAGGTGTCACAAGCACTCTCGCGAGGGCAGAATACACGGGAGGTTGTACACAGGCTTTAGGCAAACATCACGCCATTTTATAAAACAAGAGACCTGAACATCTGATTTTTGTAGGGAGGGGAAGGGGTGTCCTGGAATCAATCCACGCAGAACCCAAGGGACGCCTGTATTGCTCTCTCCGATCTATGACATGGTTTCCTCATTCACAAGAACAACTATGTGACGTATGATCCCCCTTTAAAATTTACCCACCTGATGTATCTTTGATTTTGCAGCTTCTATCAGAGCTCCACTCTCGGCTTTATGATTAGATCCATCTTTGTTGGTGTTATTACCAGTCTGTAGGGTGGTGAAACAAAATTGGCCGATTGAAATAATTTAAATTAGAACTTAAGCTGGTGAGAAGCTTCACGTTTTAAAATCCTACGTCCCACTCTTGGAGTATCAGGCTCCGTAGTGTGGAGTGGGTGACAGGTAACTCTAGTTGAGGAGTTCACAGCTGAGCCCAACGATGGAGCAGGTTTTAAAAGTACAGACCAGACTGAGGCAAAACCCAGAATAAGAGGATGTCATTTCCTTCTTTAAAAGTTTGCTGGCATAAACAATGCCAACAGGATCCAGTCCTAAATTCCCCAGAATTCAAAGTTTTTCATTATGTGACTTATCTCCTTTCTATTGCACAAGTACTATCCACTGCCGATTACCAGAAAATAATCCCAGTAGGCCACTCTCTCACACTCTGGGCTTTCTTATGCTAAAACAGGACAGTGAGCCTGTCACACCCTCTCCTTTGACTTCTAAGCTCCTGTATTCTCTAGCCTCCCTCCTTTCTTCTCAGCAACAGATGTTCTTCAATCTGTTTCTTCCCACAGACCCGTCATTCCTTGAAATGCGTTTCATTATTGTCAACTTAATAACTAGCAGAGAATCTGTTCCATGTTTTGCAAGCAAAGTTCCGTTGAACTTATCATCAAATATAGTAACTGAACGTAAAAAGGAAATGCTTTATTACATGATATTTAAGAATCCTATGAAATTCCTTAAGCTGTTAAAATGAGTTGTAAATGATTATTTTAGAAAACTGAGGTTCAGAAAGGTTGACTTGACTAGGGTCATATTATTTTAATTTTAAACTCCAAGCACAAACTTCTATAGGCAGAAAGGTACTAACGATCTGTTTCTGTAAAGGTACTAACGATCCTTTGTAAGAAAGCAGGGAGGGGCAGAAACAGTAAGGAAAGGGGGTCATCCATTAACAACCAAGGAGTACAAGATAAGAAAACCAAGGGACCCAGGACGTAGCCTTAGTGTGCACCGAGTCTCTCGTCAGAACATGGTGAAGCCCGTCCGTCACACACGTGCCCACGCTGAGCTTCAGGAACCTGATGGATGGGGTGCTCTTTTATATAACATGTCCAGAAAAGGAGACTCCAGAGAATGAGAACAGACCAGTGGATGTCAGTGAGGGACGGGAAGTGACTTCTCGTGGGTCCAGGGTTTCATTTTTGGCTTCTCTTTTGATGGTTCCGCCACTCTGTGGCTCGCAAAAGCCACTGACTGCACACTTGAAAACGTCAAGTTTTACTGTAGGTGAATCATATCTCAATAAAACTTTCCTAAGGACGAATGTCAACCATAGTTTGAAACTGTCTGATCACCTTGGGGCACTTACCTCATTCTTCCCGTTTTTGTTACTGCTTCCCTGCGAAATCATTTTTTCTAGCACAGCAAGGAGATGCAGAGCTTTCTCGGCCTGGTAAGTTAATATGTACAGGTCTACAAGCAGAAAACAGACGGCTTGGGCAAATTTTTCTTCTGGCAAAAAACAAAATCAAAACAAACGAACAACAACGACAACAACAAAACAGGAGAAAAAGTCATTAATTTGAAGTGAAGCAAACAATTCAGATTACCCTCCACACAACATGACTAAAACCATGCCTTTCCTCACTGCACATTACCTAGAGTCGTGAATGAAACAACACTGCTGTTCTACGAGGCATCTCAAGGGCCCTCATTTCAGAAACTCCAGCAACTAAACTTCCTTTGGCAAAACATCTACCAAGCCCTAGCACAGGTAATGAAGAGTACTACTTTCCACGAAGGATCCCAGGCCTTCCAACGCCACTTACTAGATGTGTGGTGTTTGCATATTGCTTAACTTACCAGTCTCCAGCTGTCTGACCTGTAAAATGGGGAGACTTCTTTACCTGCCTAAAGGCAGAGACTAAATCAGGTGTTCTCCCAAGGTCCTGTCTAAGAAGATCTATGACTATGAAATCAACTTCCTTTCTAGTCACAGAGATGGAAAGAACAAACAATTTGATAACACAGATGCATGTCTGTGCAAAACATCGTGCATTGCAGCATGTCAGAAGGACCTAATGAAAACAAGAAAAGTGATCTGCTGTGACACAGAATATTTTCCTTTCTTTTCCCAAATGATGATAAAATATAAGAAAAATAGATCTACAAGGCTGCCCTAATCAAGGAACAGAGAAGTTTCAGAAATCTCCTAAATGTTGTTTCCATCCTTGCTCCTACTCAGCAGCACACCAATCCATTTACACTGAACTCAGCTGATGTGCAAGCTTCAAATACAAAAACATCCCTCCCCAGAAACCAAACCCTCTGCAGCCAGTTGACGCAGACTTATAGTGCACCCCTAGAGGACAGGGTGAAAATGTCCCATAGGGTTTCCAAGGCTGTGATCTTTATAGAAACACACTGCCACATTCCTCCCGTGGAGTGGTTGGTGAGTTCGAACCACCAACCTTTCAATTAGCAGCCAAGTGCTTCAACTACTGTGGCACCAGTGTGCTTATAACGGCCTCTCACACACCAAATGCACCCTCACTTTATGATTTTTGCATTCTCGACTCCCTCTGGCTGTACTGCACTCCCCTCTAAAGAGTAGCAAGGCTCAGTTCATCTCTTTATTCAGGCCTTTTTTCAAAAGCTATCTCATTAGAGGTCTTCCCTGGCAACCTTATCAAAAGATACCAGTCCCAGTCAATCTTTGTCCTCGTGCCTAATTCTAGCTTTACTTTACAACACTGACATAATTCAATGGACTTCAAAAGGTTTGTGGAAAAGGGAATTGGAAGGTAATGGAATTTTTCCCTGGTCTTCCTCTCCCCCAATAGGATATATGTTTACTGCCAGCAAAGGGGTTTTTCGGTACACAGCGTTATCCCGATTCCACAACAGCACCTGGCCCACTGGTGATGCTCAATAAATATGGTGCATGAAGAATCGGGTAAGAAAGTTAACACGTATAGTGACTGCCAAAGAAGGGTGGGCTAGAATGCTACCTAGATTTTTAAAACACTCTTTAGCCACAGTACAGATGATTAGAATTTCCTGAACTGTTCTGGGACCCTTGAAACCGTCAATACTGGCAGTTTTACAGAAAAATGCATCTGTACTACCCTAAAAGTAAAATTCTAGTTTTGAGCTATAATGAAGGAGGTGGCATCTTTGCCCCATTAGCCTGGCCACCAGCTCTCAGGATTGAGAAAATGATAAGAAGAACCACGAACGTGACTCCTGGGAACCAAAGGACCAACTGCTCAACTAGCGGTCAGCAAAGGGGAGCCAGGCCTCGGTGCCCACGGTCTGCTCTCCTGCTCTCTGAGGCTCCAAAAGGGAGCCGCCACCGCCCCTGCCCTGGGATGAGCACAGCAGTACCAGCCATTGGCAAATCACCAGGAATGCCCATCCGTATGTTTCAGTTTGAAAGCAATAATCAATCTTCAAGCTTATTACTTGTTTAGGATTATGGGTATAAAAATTCCCCTTGGAACTCAGAAAAAAACAAAAAGCTAAAGGAACAGACCAAAAACCTCCCAGCCCCTAACAGCTATTTCCCTGCCCAGCCTTCATTCTATGGCTTTCCTCCCTCTTCTTTGGTCCCTGGCCCTCCTACGCTTCCCTGAGGCTAAATAGTAAGTTGTGTTACGATTTCTAAAAAGCTATAGTATGTAGTTGTGCTGCCTAGTTTATGATTACCCACAATTCCAGCCAGTTTGTAAACAAAATGAAACGCTTTTCAGTCCCCTGACATTCCACAGTGTTCCTTCCTCAGTTCACTAAGCTGCAAGTGGCGTTTAAAAGCTGCAAAGGAAAAAGTAACAATAAAAATAGACAAGAGCCTCCAATTAGACCCAGCATTTCTAGCAAGTTAACTTGAAAATTTGAGTTAAAATTGAAAAATTAATTTTTGAACCATTAAACAATGGAGGTTTTTGCTCTCCTTAGTTATCGAGGTCTAATTTTCTGATTTGGATGGTCGAGGTAAAAGTATCAAAGAACTTACGACTTGACACATAACATACCAAAAGGTTCTATGAACTGGTACAGTTTCTCGCCAACTGAGATGGCTTCTGTGTACTGCCGGAGGTGGTACAGGATGACTGCCTGATTGTAATACAACATGCTGTTCTCAACATCGTCCAGTCCGTCCATTTCTTCCACGGCTGAGTGCACCTGGGAAACAATCAACAGGGACTAGCTGGAACAACAGTTAGGAAATAAAAAGCAATAGCGAAGGAACCTATCGGAATAAACAGGAACGTGGGGCAGCACTTCTGCTGGCTTCCCCCACCTTCTCTAGTACCCCCGTATTTTAACTACTTTCATTACTACAAATCATTTCACTGCAGCATTTCATTCACGGTAGGACTCTATTAAAGAAAACTACAACAAAAACCAAACCAAAGCTACAGTCGACTAGTTGATTCTGATTCATAGTAACTACAGGGCAGAGTAGAACTGTTCACAGGGTTACTGAGACTGTACATCTTTACGGCGGTAGACAGCCACATCTTTCTCCCTTGAAGTAGCTAGTGAGTTTAAAGTGTTGAGAGTAACCCACTCTACTGCCCAGCACGAGTGGTTCTCTGCCTTGTGGCTCTGATGACACAGCCCTTGTTTCAAGCGACAATAGAACTTCTGAGTAGGCTTCCTGCCTCCCAGCCTCAGGAGCTATACGGCGCTCTATGGCGAACGGAAAAGAACTCAAATAAGCTTTCCCTGAATTTCAAGAATGAATAGCTCAATTCCATTTTACTAAAAATCCAGTCAAATTTAAAGGACAATCGCTAACTATATACTATGTGCCAAGCCTGCTAATAAGTTAAACCTTTAATAGAGAACATTTCATCGAATCTTAACTATATACCTCCAGAAAGGGGCCCTGGTGGCATAGTGGTTACACATTCTGCTGTTGACCACAAGGTCAGTGGTTTGAAACCACCAGCTGCTCTGTGGGAGAAAGACAAGGCTATCTACTCCAGTAGATACAGTCTTAAAAACCCACCGAGCCATTTCTACCCTGCCCCACGTGGTCGCGATGAGTCAGAATTGACTGCATGCAGTGTTTGGTTTGGGCTCATACACCTCAAGGATATGGAGAATATCATCATTCCTGTTTTTATTACTATTTGACTAAGACATGTATTTTCTGATTCTCCAGTAATGGTTACTTTTCATTTTCATTAAAAAAGACCGGAACACTTTTAAAAATAATGAACAACAAAACACCTAGGTCACATATGGTGGTTAAAGTAGGGCTTTATGAGCTTTACTAGCAACTTTACATGCACAATACCAAAGGAAAAACATGTTTAATACTTCATATTTGACAGTTAATGACTATCAGTATCTCTCTCTTTAAAGTCATTTTATTAGGGACTCTTATAGCTATCACAATCCATCCATCCATCCATTGTATCAAACACCTTTGTACATACATATGTTGTCATTATAATTTTCAAAACATTTTCTTCCTACTTGTTGACCCCCAGTATCACTCATTTCCCCCTCCCTCCCTAGTATATCACTTTTGTAAGCTGTAGTGCTATGCTATTCTTCTAAATTTTCAACAAGTTTCACAACCATTTCATAGTCCCATTTAACACATGAAAGTTAGTACAGGAGTTTCACCTGTATTTAAACTGACTTTTCCTCGTCAAAACAAACACTATAATAGAGTATTGTGCAACGGTAAATAACTTGTTCAAAGACTGACAATGTGGCAGCAAGAAAGGAGGGCCTCACTGAGACGGCCTGACACAGGGCTGCCACTAGGGCCCAAGAGTAGGCACAGTTGGGAGGCTGGCGCAAGACCCGGCAGTGTTTTGTTCTGTTGCACAGGGTTGCCACGAGTTGGAACAGAAGCAATGGCCCCTAACAACAACGCTGATATCCATGATACACCCAGACTTAACAACCTTGGCTTGGCTAACCGCAAGGAACCTGAAGATTCATTGCACGTCAAGCTTTGTTATCAGTCTCTGCAGACTTCAATCACTCATGTGGTAGGCTGGGCAGGAGGGGTTCAAATGTTAGTAAGTGGACCGAGTGGCTTAGACTATGCGTACTTCAAGTGATTAAGTCTTCAAGGGATTAAAAATAATTTCCTTAAATAAAGAAACAAGACTATTCCCAAAGAAAGACACCTTGGTGCTTGTTATGTAATGGCATGAGAATAAGCTAGAAGAGATTCATTCTTAGAAAATGGAGGAGTTTGAGGTTAAGCAATTTAAGACTGACAATAGTTGAACCTCTGATGTGAATAAGTTTGTACCATTTCTGATTCCATAAAATAATCCAATCACTGCCTCAGTCAGAATAAAAACTATTCATTAAACCGAATAAAATAAAATAGTAATGAAATATTTGCCTGGACATGTGACCTTAAGCATAAGTATGACTTAGAGAAAGTGAAGAGGCACAAGTATAAAAATTTTTAGGAAACTAAAGAGTTGATGACACTTGGGGGACACTGAATCAATTTTTAATAAGAGGAAAGGTTGGTGAAAGAATGAACTAAAACAATTTTCTTTCTTGGCTTAACAAGAAGTTTGTAGGAGCTTCTTATTCTAAAGTTCTACGGCTAAACTTGGGCTCAATGGCCATATCCATCTGTCTTGGCAAAAAATGTCTGTTGGATTATAGGGCACATATATAAGTTGTTTCAGAAAATTTCATTATCTTTTGGTAATTCCATTTTCCATGAACTCTTGAAGCCCTCTCATTTTACACATCAGCAAATAGTATCTTCCCTTTGATTTTGGAGCTACAGATTAAGTCATAGCTAATAATGATGCAATGTCATGATATGTAAGTTTACAAAGACCAAGTTGGTTATAAGCACAGATTAAACAGATACAAGGTCTGGTTCAAAACCTCTTCTCCATACTAGCTGAGTAAATTACACTTCCCAGACTTCAGTTTTTAAACTGAGATAATAATAATCCTATGAGATAAAGCACAAAACACTTAAATGATAATTGGCCTTTTAAGTAAGCACTCAGTAAATGTTGGTTATTATTTTCATTTTCTGGAGAATTTTAATAGGGCTTTAAAATTACTTTATTTCTACATAAACTTATAAAGATCCTGATGGGGGTCACTTATTTCTCAACTATACACAGTTTTACAGTGATACCACAGTGGTGCTCATGAATACCGGCAGAGGCTCAATAACATCTCAAGATCCTTTAGATGAAGCAGCAGTAATTAAAAGCATAGGACCTTGAGTCAAACAAGTCTGGGTTAATGTAGTTCTTACTACTTAAGAGTTGTATGTCTTTGGGCAATTTATACAGGCTCCCTGTGCCTCAGCTTTCCTATCGATAAAATGAACAAATTTACAATGCCTACAGGGCTGCTGGGAAGAATAAGTGAGAAGTGGTCTACTGCGTGCTTAGTGCAGGCTCCGGTCACACAGAAAGAAGTAAAGGACTGCTAGCCAATCCCATCGTTATCGTAGTTATTCAACTTCAGAAATCTCAAGTGTAGTCCCAGGGTGGGAGAAATGTTGCTATTATAGACAGAAAGAACACTGGTTAATGGAAGCTCCAAACCATATATCAGAGTGTCCTCTATTTAACTCTGGATCCAAAATACTAAACCAGCTTGGTATAATTAATAACAAAATTTGTGCAATTACAGATAAAATATATTTCAGCCATCGGCTAAACTTCATTTGTTTTTACTATAATTCTTCCTCCAAACTCTGAGGAGCATCCAAATTTGCTATATTAATCGATTCTGTTCAAATGAAAAGAGAAACAGAGAACAAAAGTATACAACATATCAGCTTTCATTTCTTCACATAATTTTATACAAGTAAACTTAGTATCAATAAATCTTTTCAGGTAGGAAATCACACTTATTTTCCTTAACTATTTTTATTTCACATATTAAAGAACATCACAATATTTTTATAGCAAAATCCATTTGTGGATCACCTGATTCTTCAGCTGGTTAAGTGTCTGTCTCAAATTATCTGTTGTTGTTTGGTTACTTTTAAAGAACTCAGCTACGGCAGTATTCAGAATTATTTTATAATCATCTTTGTTTATATCTTGTAGGCAGGCAAGGTGTTGCAGGCAGGTATCATAATTTCCAGCCTTAAAAAGAAAGGACACAAGCAAAATTAGGTATCTTAAGTTTTTTGAACAATCTCATTTATTTCCACACATACTCATTTCTCCTTTTAACTGGAGTTACTATATGAAGGTCTATGGAAAGAAACTATGGCTATTTACTTGCTAAGAATCAAACTCTAACACTGCAATGTATTATCCTGTGAGGTACAGGGTGACTTGATAGCAGTGGGTTCGGTATGTTAACGAAGGCCCGAGGGGGGAGGAAGGCAATAATGTCATTCCCAATTTTAATTTCTAGTATTTCTATTTTAAATATCCCACTACCAAGTTCCTCTGTTTACATGTTAGTAAGCTGATCAAATAGGGTTTTCTTGTACATTCTTTTATGTTAGAAAAAAAGGCTTAACAATAAAATTTTAGGGTTCAATTTTAAAGTGTATTCAAAGGAAAAAACTGACTAGAAAAGTTAAATGAAGGCTGATCATCTATTTATGTATCTAAATTAAAAACACTTAAAAATAATATGTGTGAAAAAATATAAAATTATTATGGTTTGAATTACTCCTGCTCCTTTCATCATATTTAAAACCAATTCTAAAATGATTTTCATTTTAAAGCTAAATTTACTTCTCCAAACTCATTTCTTGAGTTATCACAGAACAAAAGTTAGAACTGAAAAAGCCACTGTGAAAATATTTATGTCTGACAGACCTCTCAGAGTTGAGCAGACAAGCAGAAACCATTTACTTACTGCAAAGGCTTGGAAGGCATTGCTGGACAACTCCTTCTCCTGGTCAGTAAGCCCAGAGGACTGACCTGTCCCTTCATGTTTCTCTGCTCCCTGATCTGTAAGCACACAAGTTTGACAGTTCTATAGAAATACAAGTTGTGCAGTGAACTTGTCTTTAGTTCTCGTCTTCTTCCTAACGAAGTTGCCATAGTCATGTTCCTCTCAATTACAGTGGTTAATAAGTGAGTATGAAACGGCTGTTCAGAAAATGTCAAGCAGAAATGTTTCCCGTGGCTGTGGTCAAGCACAGTGAAAACCCACCGTGTGTGTAAGGACTATAGCTCTGGTGATCATGACATGCAGGCTGAGAATGTTCTGTTCTCCTAAAAATATTATCTGCCGACCAGCCATAGTAAAGCACCTTTGTCAGGTCCCAGAGATTCAAGGACATTATATATAAATGTTCCTGCCATTAAGAAATATGTAATCTAGCTTCTGGGGTCTTAAAAAGCTTTCCAGCAGCCTTCTAACAATGTAAGATATGAAAATGATAATTATAACTTATCAAGGATTCATGAGGGAGGGAAGGTGTAGGAGGGAGGAGGAAAAATGAGGAGCTGATACCAAGGGCTCAAGTGGAAAGAAAATGCTTTGAAAAGGATGATGGCAACATATGTACGAATGTGCTTGACACAATGGATGAATGTATGGATTGTGATAAGAGCCCCCAATAAAGGTATTTATTTAAAAAAAATACTGCCCTAAGGCAATCTAACCCCCTAATTTGAAACTAAAGACACTCCCAGAGGTCACCTCTCAGCCAAACAGTGGATAGATGGGGACAGCAGAATAAACAGTAAAACCTGGGAAGACTGTGCTCCTTTGATAAAACCACAAGGGCAACATTTACCCAAAAGAAAAGATGAGAAGGCAGGAAAAGTCAGAGTGGATGAAGAGAAACGGGGATCCCCAGACAAGCAATGGGGAGAGTGCAGACATAGTCGATTTCAACCAATGCTGTGGATCAATTTGTATGTGAAATATTGATTGGAAAACTAGTTTGCTATGTGAATTTTTATCTAAAGCACACCGAGGAGAGAAATTTCTCATCTACCATAGTTGGAATATCTGAGCCCTAATGGGGTAGTAGTGGTTACCCGCTGGGCTAACTGAAAGGTCAGAAATTCAAAATCACCAGCTGCTCCCAAGGGAGAAAGGCAAAGTTTTCTACTCTTAGAAAGCGCTAGTCTCCTATAGGGTCACTGTGAACCAGAACTGACTTCATGGTAGTGAGTGAATGAGCTGAAATATCATTCATTACTGCAGGGGGCCTCAAACTTTTTAAACGGGGCAAGTTCACTGTCTATCAGACCCGTTGGAGGGTCGGACTATAGTTTAAAAAAAACTATGAACAAATTCCTATGCACACTG